GGCCGTTACCTCGGCCCAATTCCAGACCATAAATCTCCCTCTCACCAGCGTACCAACGGGTCAAGAGGGAACCGAATCCCTCCTTCGACTATGGCCGCAATGGGAAAAGCAACGATATTCCTCGTGCCCATACGCTTGGCATCTACTTTCGCCAACGAAAGGGTAACGTCGTTGGGAATATTATTGTCCAGGCAGAACATAGCCATGGCCTCGAGGGTATCAACCAGAGAACGAAACTTCCCTATTTAACAAACCTAATGGGATAAAGGAGAGACTCAGATAATAGAATATGAAACACAGACAGCGAGTGGGCCAAACAAGATGATTAAGACAAAAAGAGGCAAGAGAAGAAGAGTAACAAGAGGACTTACAGAGATTAGAACAGTGGTAGCAGAGCAAGATCAGCGGCGAAAGAAAAAATCTAAGTAGGGCACCAACGAGACTGGTTCAGAGGAACAGCAAAAGACCTTTCTCTCTCTTTGAAACTCTCTAGAGGAATGAAAAAGCAGATGAAGGGATTTGTATTGACAGCCAGAGCATTAATTGCACTAGTCGGCGCGCAGGATGCATGCAGAAATTGTGTGTCAAGATTGAACTGTCACCAAGGCCAAACTGAGGAAAACCGAAACGACGCGATGCTTGGGAAGCAGAACAATAGCTCCCCTCAAGGGGAACCTTAGCGCGAGCTAGGGGGCAAATGAAAGGGGCTAAATGTGAAATGGGTCAGGTCCAAGCCTTGGGCCGGTCCAATCCGCTGAAGTCCAAATCCAAGTGAGTTAGATGAGTATATGGGCAAACCAATTGAGCCCAACTTCACGATCAACAGTCCACCCCAGTCCTCAAGCACTTGGGCCCAACCCGCAGTGGAAAGGCTAGTCCAGCCGCGATGCTGGGCTGGGCCTAGCTGCGAGACTGAACCTATGGGCCGAGCAAAAAATGGGTCGAGCCCATACAAAGATATCCGAATGGATCAGTCCATCTCCATGAATGATCCTATAAAAGGCCGAGATAAGGCATAATGATGCCGAGCTGAAGAACATCAGTACCGAGCTGAGGAAATCTCGCAAGGAAACGTGGAAGCTGTGAATGTGTGCATGTGCAAGTTGCCACCTCAACTGGTCCCCTACACCTAGAATCACGGAAGTTGTTGAACCAAAGACATGTGGTTTGTTATCAGTATGACTACAATGAGTATTTGCATTTATTGGCAACTAACAGGTGGTCCCCCACCATGAGCAATGCCAAAAGGACACCTGGCAGCATCCAAGCTCCATTAACCCACCTTGAGAAGCAAGCAAGGAACACTATATATACAACATGAACTTCACATTGAAGGTAATTGAACAATTCCAAGTGCAACTATAAGCTCAACTCGATATTCATTCTCTCTTCGATCACTAATTCCCACACCGGAGGGGTTATTCGGCCAACCCTGGCCGGGCAGCTCTAACGGTGCTTCTTGTGGCAAGAACCTCAGTCCCTGGATAGTCCGACCGAGTGCGGATCCCCGATTTACTTTCATCTAGTGCGGAATCCGGTACACACAGTCGGTTTCTTGTGCTTTATTCATGTCTCTTGTGGCATGGGAGTTAGGTTTTTGTGTGTTTCGGTCCGGTTGTCTGGCTAGATTCTACTCATGTCATGATATTTTCACGAAAAGAAGTTATTGATTAGTTGAAGAGTAATATTAGGTGGCGTTTCATACTCATTATAATTGATGAAAAAAGATTGACTCGTGATTTTGTATTAAATGATTGAAGAATATAAAAAGACATAAATACTGGCTTTAAATATGGTTAAATATGATTTTGTATTAAATATGGTTTCACCAATTAATCACTTTGCTTGGTTTAAGTGGCGTTTCATACTCATTATAATTGATGAAAAAAGATTGACTCGTGATTTTGTATTAAATGATTGAAAAATATAAAAAGACATAAATACTGGCTTTAAATATGGTTACATAATGCCCCAATACCAATTAATCACTTTGCTTGGTTTAAATTTTCTAAAAATATTTTTTAGAAAATTTTATTTTCTTATTTTTTGTATTTTTTATTTTTACTAAATTTTTTAAATATTTTAAGTAATTTTTTAATTTTCAGACACACCTAATATAAATACACTTAAAAAGTAAAATATTTGTAAAAAAAATCTTTAAAAATTACACTAAATACCAAAAAATACAAAAATTCGATCCCTATCAAATTGGAAATTGGAGTACTAAAATTTATCTGCCAAGAGATATTCCTTTGAGAAAGGAGGTAAGGCAGACATTTTCAAAATAGAACGCATGGCCTCTATTTAATCAAATAGATCATTAGTCATCCTCGAGTCAAATCAAACTCGCTTAATAGTTTTTTCTTTGCAGAAGTTTTTTTTTTCTATTAAAAATAAAAAATAAAAAATTGTTTTCTCCACACGTGTTGATGAGGCTTTCTTTTGGTGAGAATTGAAGGAAATATCATAATGGCTTGCTGGACAATTCGCAACCACATATCCCTAACGATTGGATGTTCCACCCGAAGTTAATTATTTCCTTTGTTTTTTGAACGGAAAGCAACAATACCTTGAGAAACAATTTTTGTGAAGACGACATCGACATCATAATTTGTTTTGGAGAAATATTATGGTGTATATTTTTTAAAAAGTGTATTTTATATATATTTTATAATTAAAATATATATATATATAATTTTAATTTTTTAAATTATAACTTAAAAAAATGTCATAACTAAGGCCAAATTTGGCTAAACTAAAAAAGTGTACTTATTTCATCTTTTTATCTTTTTTGGGTCACATCAATCAACATTTCCTTTTTACTTTTTCTACACATAATACAAGAAAAGTCAAAAAGTACACTTATTTAGTCTTTCCAAACTTGACCTAAATGTAACATGAAATATAATTAAAGGATTTATGAGTCATAACTAAATAATATCATAACTAAATATAAAAAAAATTGATCATAGTAAAAAAATAAATAAATAAATAACTAGAAGGGTATATATTGCACCCCTTTTAGAGATGTGTAAGTTAGAATTTCCCTTTGTTTTGTCATCAATGACATCAAAATTTGTTTTGTTTTGTTTTGTTTTTTCATCAATGATATAATAACTTGTTTTGCATCATAATTTTTTTTGCCATTGTAATTTGCTTAGTTTGATTTTTTAAAAATTATTTTTAAATGAAATATCGTTGTTGTTTAGTGAATTTTTTTTCATATTTTAGTCACTTTTTTGTATTTTTTTTTGTTGCACCTAATATAAATGCATCTAAAATAAAATAAACTGACTAAAATATTTAAAAATTTTACTGAAAATAAATAAAAATTTGAATAAAAATATGTGTACGTTTTTGTATGGATTTTCATTTATTTTTAATAAATTTTGTTTTATATTTAGTTAGTTTTTTTTTTAAACTTTTTAGATGAATCTGATTTTAATGCATCAACAAAATAAAAAAATAATAATAATTAAAATATATATAAAAAAAAAATCAATAAAGACGAACAAAAACCGTTTAAAAATAAATTCACCAAACAACCTCTTTATTTTTAAATCAATCTCGGTCCGGCCCAATTGGTGGGCTGTTGACTAATTTAACAATAAAGCCCAGTTCGGCCTATTTGACGTAGTCATAAATTTTTTTTAAAAAAAATTGTATTAGACTATTTGAGGTAGAGTTTATTAAGTCAATCCTAAAAAAGTTAATTTGTTTGATTTATTTTTTTTATTTTTATAATGACTATTTAAAATTTCTAAAGTTGATTTTTTAGCAAAAAAGCATGCCAAATGAGCTAAAAAAATTAGGGGAAAAAAATGAGTTTTTTTAACTAATAAGTTTACTTTTTATTCAATGCCAAAGGAAACCTTATGATATAATTTATCCAAGCCCAACCCCAAGTCCAAACCCAAGCCCGTAGCTCAAAACTTGAAATTGACATTTTGCTTTCCTTCCAAATTTCAATTTCCATTTCAACCTGGTAAGAGAACCCCTTCCCAAATATTAACACCACCACGTAATCTGTTGTGTTTAGTGATTTTTCTATTCTATGGTTTATAAGAAAATCAAAACTAAAAAATACTATCAATTTTGGGTAATATTATACATAATTCAATTTTTTATTACATTTTTTTTTAATTCCTAAACGCAACATAATAGGATATTAATATTTGTAAATAGGATCCACTTACCTATATTTAAATAAGATCGAAAAAAAATACCATAATAAATGGGGTTGTATATAATTTTTTTTTTTTTTTTGCCAAATGTAATTCTCAAAGCTCAAAAACACAACTTAGGAGTTAGTTGATTCAAAAGTTGAACTACGAAAGACATTTTAAAAAGGCATAAGGGAGATGACGATCACTATCAAATTGGAAATTGGAGTACTAAAATTTATCTGCCAAGAGATATTCCTATGAGAAAGTAAGGCAGACATTTTCAAAATAGAACTCATGGCCTCTATTTAATCAAATAGATCATTAGTCATCCTCGAGTGGAACCTAAAATCTACTACACAATCTTAGCCTAGTGATCTTGAACCCATAATTTGCAACACAATCACTAGGTTGATTTTTAAAATTAGTCCAGTAGATTAATATTATAAAAATTTTAATTGATTGAATTTTAATGATTACTTGATTAAGGAATATAAAAAATATTTATCTTGAAAAAAATAGGGTCATCTAATTATAATACTAAATAAATGAATATTTTGAATATGAATCCTCCTATCCATAGCACAATAAGTGAACAGGAGAAGAGTTTTAAGTCAATATTTATACTTTTGTATCTTTATTATTATTATGTAAAATAAAATATTAGGACTTCTTAGGAATTAAAAGTTATAATATATATATATATATTTTTTTTTTAAAAAAAAAAAAATTTACAACACTCAATATACACACATTATTTTGTGATCAGATTGAAATTCAACACAAAAAGATGGAGCAACACAAAAAGTAAACAGAAAACACGCACCATCAAATACCTTAACTAACTTAATGCAGTACACAACACATTCATTCATGTATAAAACATAGATCACATTCATACCCTCTTCTATAATGACATAAACAAAAACAAAACAACCAAACTAATTACATATATTATGATATCTTAGGCCTTATTTGTCATAACTTAAAAAAAGATAAAAAGTCACTATCCTATATTTAAGTCACATCATCTTATTTAAGTTGTATCACCGCTCGATCACATCACTTCAAACCCAACCCATACCCACCTCATGTTTCATAAAAAGTAAAAAATTACACTTATTTAAATCATCCCAAACCATTCCTTAGAACTCCACTATGATTTTCCCTGTAGCATGACCATCCATGATCTTAGCCCAAGCTTCTTCAGCCCTACTCACAGGATACTTTGAGTCTATCACTGTCTTAAGCTTCCCTTCCTTCACCAACTTCACAACATACTCAAGGTTCTCAACTGTGGGTACGCAAATGAGTGGCACAAGCTGCTTCTTAGAGAATGTGAGTTTCTTTAGTGCAAAAGTCATCATGGTACTCGGACTGGGAGTCAAATCAATTACCTTCCCATTTGTGCTCAGAATAGGCTCGAAAGTTGACCAAGGAAAGCCCCCGGCACAGTGGACAACAACGTCATATTTCTTGCCCGATGGGCTCTTCAGAACTTGCCCCTCGGGTGTTTTGTAGTCGATTACCTCGTCGGCACCTAAGCTCTTCACAAAATCGAGGTTGCGAGCTCCACAAGTGGCCGTCACATGCGTGTTTCCAAGCTTTGCGAGTTGAACTGCGTAGTGACCGACACCACCAGAGGCAGCCGTGATCAGAATATTTTTTTTCGGGTCTGTTCCGTCGGGCTTGACCCCTGCAGGTTGGGTAAGGGCAACATGAGCTGTAATAGCAGCGATAGGTAAGCCCGCGGCTTCTGCTGCTGATACCTCAGGTGGCCTTGGAACTGTCATTGTCTCGTTAGCCACGGCAAACTCAGCTAGTCCACCTCCACTCTGTGATTCAGTTCCATGAACAATCAGAAACAAAAATGGTGGGAATTAACCCCTTAAATCCTAAGGGATGTTTTCATATCAAATCTTAGTTCTCTCTCTTTAGTATATTCAGTAGACCAAGCCTAATAGGAGGAAGACAATGTCAAAATAATGAGAGATCATTTCAAAAAATAGGATCAATTAGAAGGAAATGTCGCTTTAACGCAGTCAACTTCAAAACCGTAAATTTAGACCCCTTAACTACAAAAAAACCATACAAATTACTCCCTTCTGGAGGGGTGAAAGTAACAGAATTTTATGGTTACATACAATTTTGAAGTTGAGTGGAACCCAAAGATTTTGGACCCATTTAGGTCCTCAAAGGTTTGCCATCCATATTATATCAAATGCATCTGGAAAACGTTTCTAAAATGTCCTTCAAGTTCTGCACTGAAGTATAATTCTCTTCTGGAAGGCATAGTGTTTTCAGAGGAAAACACGCGAGCCAGAAAACTCTATGCCCAACAAGGAGCAAAATCTAGATAACCAAGAAACAAGAGAAATTTTAGAAACCTCATGGTTAAAGCATAAAGATGGTGAGAAAAATAAAAAGAAAACTGTTAAGAACCCTAGGCTCATAAGGCAATTGCCCAATAAGACTCGGGCCTTGTTTTTGTGGTAAGTACATGATGTTAAAGTTCAAAAGCTTCAAGGCAAACCGCCTCACCCTGAGGTGAGCCTCAAAAATGACTTATGAGATGACAGTAGTACTTATTTAATGATGATATGATCTCCTCACGAAACAACTGATCCTGCAAAGCATTTTAACTACAAGTTTGACTATGTAACTTTGTCCAACTGTGAAGAGACACAGTAAATACTAAATAAAAAGTTGAACACAACATGGCATAAATGACACTTACAGAAAGACCAAGATAGGATACAACTTTGTCACCAGCTTTAAATTTTGTGACTCCAGTTCCAACCTCCACTACTTCTCCAGCTATGTCGGTTGCTGTACCAACCATAAGAGGGGAAAAAATTAGCCTAGAAAGTAATCTTCAATTCTTCTAAGGTTTACATTATAAATACCTAGACTGTAAATAATACTTAGCATGAGGCTTGAGGTATTAAGGTACATAAAATGCAAGAGAACTCCTTTAGATATAAGACACATAGTGGTCAAGTAAACACTGTTAAATCAGGAAAAAAGGAAAGTTTCAAATCCATATAGAATTAAATGAATCATGAGTCATTCACAAATGACATGGGTATTAAACAAAAGAGAATTTTCATATTATTTGTGAACTACTGAATTTGTAACAATTCTAGAATTTTTTGTTATTTCATTCCAGTTACAAACTCCATTGCATTTCCACATTTATTTCTTTCTAGAAATTTCCCCCAACTGCGGTGATGCCAAGAGGAAAAGCATGTCGTGAATCAGAAATCATGTGGAACACACAAATATTCTGAGGAAAATATCTGTTACAATAGTTTAATAGAGTTGATTCAAATGTTAGCCTGAAAATAATGCATAGGTCAATTTAAACTCACCTCCCTACTTAGGAACACTATGTCAATTTAACTACACTAACAATCAAGGGCATACAAATGTTTCTCCTCTACCAATGGTTGCTCAGGACTTGTTTAGTAACAGGCTATTTTAGTAACTTTTAGACTTTTTGGCTAAAATATGAGGTAAAAAAAATTAGTATGTTTGAAATGACTTTTTGATTTTTTACAAAAAAGATGTGCAAAAAAATAGAAAGAAAAAAAAATCTTTAACTTTTTGGTATAAGTTATAGGTTTTTTGAATTTTTTAGTAACTTTTTTAACTTTTAGGCTAAAATTGTTACATGCCAAACAAGGCCTCAGATTATATAAAAAATTTTATTGATAAGAGCCAAGTTTGTATAAAATATTGTTGGACCTTTCTAATTTAAAGATATATTCAAATAAAATCATGCCACATCCAGGTTCTAGAGCAGTGAGGACACAATGAAGAAATTGGATTCTCCATGACAAACATGCCCTTATATTGACCATATTAACCAAGAATTAATGCCACAATGAGGGTCTATTTGAGGGGAAAAAAGCATTCTAATAACATAGAGGAACAAACTCTTTGATTTGTAAGAGTGAAGGACAAAAAGCATCAGATACAACAAACTAAACAGATATCCAGCTTTAAAATTGCGACAAGACATAGTTCAGCTAGGAAAACAAAAGATAGATAGAAAAACATACAAGGTCATAAAAGAAAAGGTACTTAAGAAATAATTGAGTTGTAAATTTAGACTAGACATCAATGAAGTTACCAGGTGTGAAAGGAAGTTTGCGAGGAATAAGAATAGGACGCATGAGGCCTTTCTGAATTTTCAGATCAACTGGATTTAAGCTTGCTGCTTCCATTTTTATTAAAATCTCACCCTTTTTCAGAGCAGGAACAGGAATTTCGACATGCTGCAAGATGCATCGAACGCAACTTAAAACCAATTGAAATGGTGTAATATCAATTTTAGCAGAAATCCCAATATACACATATATTCAACCAAATTGTACCAATGAAATTCAAAAAACACTAATTCATAGATGATCGAACAGCAGTGTATTAATTTCACATTGTATGTCTTCATTCAGTGAGAATAAGCCCCACAGGTGGTAGTTAATACAACACAGAAAGAGAGAACATAAGTCAGGTTGGTTTGGTTTGGTTTTCTTTTCAGTCTGATTTGCTTTTTGGGGTTGTAAAAAATATAGAAATTAATTTGATAAAAATAAAGATAAATTTTTTTTTTTTTATATTTATAAATTTGATTCATAAGATGGCCTCTGTTTGGCAAGATGGTTTTCAGGCTTTTTTAGCTATTTTAGCCACAAAAAACAAAATAGGCTATTTTAGCCATAACAAACAAAACATCACATCCAACCTATAATCATTACATTCTTCTCTCACAAAAAAGGTCAAAAAAGCCAAAAAGCCAAAAAGTCCTTCTCAAACCAAGCTTTTTAGCCCAGGCTAAATTAGCCAAAAAGCCAAAAAGCCAACCTACTTCCCAAACCAAGCCATAATTATTTTTCCGAGGTCTGCTCAATCTAATTAACCCGTTGGTTAGATATTTTTAAATTTTAAAAGATTGTTTTGGCTCCAAGAAATATAAGAATAAGACCATAGAATATTTCTTGTTTTTTTCATCACATTAAATTTTAGATTTTTTTTTATTCAGAAAATTAATCCTGGAAACGAAACCAAATCAACGGCATTTGATGCCCACAACAACCAAACAAACAAACAAAAAATCCCGAAATAGAAATTCGTCGATTATACAACACAAATAAAATATCTACAGTCAATTGTATATAGCCCACCTCATCTTCGAAATTTGTTGAATTGAATAATTACATGAAAAATATTAAAAAGTCAGATTTAGAAAGGCGAGAAGAGTCAAAACGAAACAAAAAGGAAAGGAAAACAAAACAAAACATATGCAGTTGAGTTACCTTCAAACTAGCAACTCCTCCGCCAAAAGAGTCATACTGAACCGCATTCATGAGCTTCCTTGCCATTTTTATTCACAAATCACAAATTCTGAAGATTTCCTCAGAGATAGCAAAATTATATACCACTCTAGAGAGAGAGAGAGAGAGAGAGAGAGAGAGAGGCAACAAAGAAGAAAAATCAAGCAGCGGAAATGTGAGTACAAAGCAGACACAGGGTCTGAGATATATTAGTAGTTTGGAGAATTTTGGTTTGGTGTTGTTTGCTAAGGTTGTGCGTGGTACGGGTCGGTGCGATTTAAGAGAAAAATAAAAATCGTATGGTGGGTGACGGATTGATAAAAGTGTCATTAGAATTTGTTATTTTTTTTTATCAAAAACCGACAGTTCGATTGGCAAATAATGGCGGATTTGCCTTGGCTGTTCGGGCGGATTGGCGGTTTATAAAAAATATAATTCAAATTACAAAACTTAAATTAAAGAGTAAAAAAAAGACGAGAGATGCCGTAATGTTAAGCATCTTGCGAAGCTTTTTTCTGATACAGCAAGTGTAGCAACAATATGATAATATCAACGACTATGCCATCAGTTTATTACAAGCATCTGTGAAAGCTACAATGATCAAATACAATACATAAAATTAATAGCATTCAGGGTTTATAATATATTGAAAATGTTTACTGTTAAAAAGTATTTAAATTGAAAAGTGAGCTGATGAAAGTTTGCAACATGGGCAGAAAAAAAAAAAAAAAAGATTGAAAAGTAAATTGGAATCCAACTTTATTTTGGATTACTGACATCTTGAATTTCCCTCGAGCAATAATGTAATACTATATTCTAAGGTATAAAACAACAAGCAAACTTAAGTAAAAAAGAATTTTTAGAATCTTATAAAGCATGATTTAATAGCGGTGCGGGTCGGTGCGGTTTGAAAGAAAAATAGAAACCGGCGGATTGATAAAAGTGTCACTAGAATTTGACATTTTTCTTACCAAAAACCGACGGTTCGATTGGCAAATAATAACAAATTTGCCTTGGCGGTGTGGTTCAGTACGGTTTCGGCGGTTTCGACGGTTTCGGCGGTATTATGCACACCAGTAGGGATGAGGCATATAAGTGTACTAGCGTATGTCTGTGTGAGTGAAGGTAAGGTGTAAATAATATTAGGAATAATTATAATCTCTATGTTGTTTGAATTTATTTTTTTAATTTGATAAATCTCAAATTTATATTAAAATTTTGAAGTTTTTACAAAAAAAATTTCGAAAATTTGTTTTTGCTTATATAATAAATAGCTAGATAGATAAATGTGCTTAGCATATATACAATTTCTATGGGTATACATAGTATTACATACAATACTTATTTTGCTTATATAATTATATAAAAATTGTATGTATGCCCGTAATGTCCTAATGTATTATGGGCATACATACATTGTACGAAAATGTGTAAAATATATTAAACAAAAAGGAGAAAATAAAAAAAAAATTAAAAAACAGAGAGAAAAATATAAACGGAAGAAAATTAAAAAATAAAAAGAAAAGAAAAAGGAATGCGGGATCATGGGATCATGGAAGGAGGGGTGTGAGAAATTGAAAAAGTAAGAGAGAAAGAGAAGCAGAAAAATAGAAAGTGTATATGTAGAATATTTTTTGAAAAATATATCTCAGTCATTATTTTATAATTTGAATAGCTTTGAACTATTCAAATATCCTAATAGGACAAAAATATGTTGAAGATTTAAAAACCGTCCGACCTTATTAAAATATGATGAAGATTCATATGAGATCTAAATTTACAAAGTCTATCAGGCATTCAATATATTTAAAAATAATGATTAATTGTTCAAATTTATTTAATTTGTGAACTAAAAAATTAATTAATATAATCTCCACTACACACAGTAACATCTACCTCCTAATTCTAGGATCGCAGACTTTTCCATATAATATGAATAAAAATATGTGAACAACAAGGAGAAAAAAAAAACAAATAGAGAGAAAAATAAAAATGGGAGAAAATAAAAAAAATAAAAAAAGAGAGAGAAAGAAAGATGGGATTATGGGATCACAGAAGGATGGGTGAGAAAAGGAAAAAGTAAGACAGAGAATCAGGAATATAGAAAATGCACATGTAGGATATTTTTTGAAAAATATATCTCAGCCGTTGTTTTATAATTTGAATAGATCAGAGCCGTTCAAATGTCTTAGTAGGACAAATGTGTATAGGACAAATTCAAAAACTATCCTACTTTATTATATAGATTTTGAAAATTCATATGAGGTCTAAATTTGTGAAGTCTATCAAGTATTCAATATATTTAAAAACAATAATTAATTGCTCAAATTCATTTAATTTTGGACTATAAAATTCATTAATTTAATCTCTACTATACACAGTAAAATCTAGCTCATAATTCTAGGATCACAAATGTAACAATCCAGATTTTTAATTATTCTGTAAAATTTATACTAATATTATTTAATCACAGTTAGGAAAAATATATCATTTTTTATATATTATTATGGGTAATTTTGTAAAATAATATAATTATTAAAAATTTAGGAGTCAAAATATAAATAAATAATTAAGTTTAGATAAGTTTCAATTAATTTAGATACGTTCGAATTAATGGAGATTAATAAGAAAGTGACACGTGACAGTTGGCTTGGGACTCGCGAATTGAATTTGTATAACAGTCGTGCTACCGACCCCCAGCTGGGGGCACCCCCAGTAACCCCCAGTGGCAGGTGGCACACTACCAGTGGCTGGAATCCAAGAAAAAAAAAATAAAAAAAAAGAACTATTTTTTGACAAATCACCAATGACCCCAGCACCCCCACTGGGGGTCTAAGTCATTTTTCTTTGTATAAATAGGGAGAAGTTGACTCCGTAAAAGAGAAAGAAAGAAAGGAAAAGTAAGAGAGAAAGTAGAGAAAAGAGAGAAAAGAGAGGGAAAAAATAATGGAAGCTGAAAGGGTCTTTGGTGGTAAAGAAAGAGTGAGGTATTAAAGTTAAGATGAGTTGTATTATACCTTGAGTTATCAAAATGTATTTTATGTATGTTTTGACTTACCAAAATCTATTTTATACAAGTTATGTTTTATTAGTATATTAATAAAAGTTATGTTTTATAAACATTTCAGTTACGTAGATTATTTTCTGAACCCTATTTGCTTAAAAGGAACCCTATGGATATGTTTGTTTTACTTTCAAAGAATATTTGACTATACCTTATAAACAATTATGTTTTGTAACTACCACCACGGGAGTCTCACGCCTTAGGGGACTTAAATAACCATTGGCCCGTACTTGACTACTTTGTGGTCCCGTGTTTGTCATGGATCCATTGACCCCTGTAGTGATTGTCACTTAGTGACCCTTGTTCTGTTCCATTATGTACCGTGGTTATAGTTGTTTACGTAATTTATGTAGTATATATCAAATGATTTCCGTATTATATGTTAAATGATCTCCATATTATATATAATGCATTTTAATATCAAATTCTCTTTAGCCAATAATTATTCATGGTGAATTTTATGCCCTTATACTCTTAATATAATATTTCTTACTCTGCCATGTGCTTATAGTTGTTTACCAATTTTCAGGAAACAATGCAATTCAGGAATAGCTTTTGGAAAGTCTTAGATGCGAGGTTACGAATTAGACACGCACAGCACTTTTATGATATTTTTCAATGTAAATATCGGCCTTTTTGGTCAATATATTTTGTAATAAAAATAGAAACTCCAATGATTATTTTGGTACCCTTATTTAAATATTACTTCCGCTCGCGTTATTTGATTTGTTTATGATTTGGCCGGAGATAACTTCAATTACTGGCCATCACAATACTTAACCCTTGGGTACGGGGAGTGGGTCGTGACAAATGGTATCAGAGTAATAGTTTATATAAATAAATAAAACATTGGAGCATAAGACACACGCACATTTAAGAATTAGGATAGCGGGTAATTAGTATCTAAATATTATATTTTGTTAGTCGATTTAATTATATTATAATTTTATATGATTATATATTATTATTATTATTATTATTATTATTATTATTATTTTGTATAATTTGTGATGGCTATTAGATATAATTTATATTTGTCATAGCAAAAGAGAAACAATAAACAAAAGGTATGGGACTCAAGCACCACCAAAATTATAATATAATTAAATACATAGAATTTTCAGTTCAGTATTTAAAAATAAAAAGTTTATTTTGACTTTTTAAAAGTTGGTTCAAATTTTAAAAATACTAATTTTGAAACTATTTTCCATCAATGAAAAGTTCATCTCAAAATTGTTCAACTCTTATATATGATTCTGTCATTGTGGTCTCATTTTATTTTTATTTATTTTTATCGTACACAAAACGAGTGAAAAGTTTTTAAAGTCACCCATTATTTCTCATTTTTGGTAAAGTGTTTTCTTGAAGTAATGTTTTCTATCAGATTAATCATCTAATATATATTTATCAGAGTGCGCAGCGGATAATTGCACATATGACAAATTTCGAGGACAAAATTTTAAAAGGAGGAAAGATTGTAACAATCTAGATTTTTAATTATTCTGTAGAATTTATATTAATATTATTTAATCACAGTTAAGAAAAATATATCACCTTTTATATATTATTATGGGTAATTTTGTAAAATAATATAATTATTAAAAATTTAGGGGTCAAAATATAAACAAATAATTAAGTTTAGATAAGCTTCTATTAATTTAGATAAGTTCGAATTAATGGAGATTAATAAGAAAATGACACGTGGCAGTTGGCTTGGGGCTCACGAATTGAATTTGTATAAACAACAATGCTAGAGACCTCTAAAAACACACCTTTAAACACACCTCTAATGAGGTGGAAAAGGGAAAAAAAAAAAAATCCAGACACATGACTGACAGTGGCAGTGGGTGGGACCCACTACCACTGCCACGTCACTAGTGGTACCTCTAAATTAGAGGTCCCAAGCATTTTTCTTTGTATAAATAGGGAGAAAGAAAGAAAGGAGAAGTAAGAGAGAAAGTAGAGAAAAGAGAGGAAAAAAATAATGGAAACTGGAAGGGTCTTTAGTGGTGGAAAGAAAGAGTGAGGTATTAAAATTAAGGTGAGTTATATTATACCTTGAGTTACCAAAATGTATTTTGCGTATGTTTTGACTTACCAAAAT